TCGAACTCGTGGCGAAGAGATGTTAACTCCTTGACTTAAAGCTTTCGTGACTGCAGGAATTCATATTCTTGGGTCTTTCGGTAAAGTCACGTAGATAGGTTCAAAGAAAATAACAAAGAATAACAAAGCTATCACCCCAACCGTTGGGAAAGAACCATCTGAGGACCCAATCAAAACCATCACCTTGCCATACATAGCAGGAGTCACTAAAAATATTTCCAAAATCATGAGCAAACACAAGATCCAGGTTCGATTTAACACAGTACATAAAATTCGTGATCTGATCCCATCTGTTAGGATAATATCCCTGACATGCAATACCCCGGCGTCTACAAACTAAGCTGTGTCTGCGGCAGTAGTTACATTGGGGAAACTAAGCGACATGTTTCGGACAGTGTTCGTGAACATGAGGCAGATCTGAAACACAGTAGGACCAATACCTTGGTCGTGGCTGATCATTGTTTGAATGCAGTGGGCTCACGAAATTGATTTCTTTAAGACGAAAGTACTTTGCAAGCCCACTGGCTTATCAACAAAGCTCCAGTAGTTTTCCTGAAGACGACCGCTTGTGTTGCGATCCAAACGTCATAGTTTTTTGTTATTTTTTATTTTCTTTGAACCTATCTACGTGACTTTAATCGAAAGACCCAAGAATATGTTAACTCCCTCGCCTGGTATGCAGGAGGTCGTGGGTTCGATCCCGATCCTGATGCCTGTATATTTGCAGTTTGCATGTTCTCCCCGTGGTCGCGTGGATTTTTCTCCAGGTCCTCCGGTTTTTCCCTCCACATTTAGAAACGTGCGTTTAGAGTATTTGTCTGATATACACTTACACGTGATAAGCCACTTCGTTGAGTTATCATTTGTGGCCAGGTCGCTTCTGAAAAAGAGCTATGTAGCACAATGGGCCTTACCTGGTAAAATAATAAATAGTTTAGAACTCGTGTCGTCAGGTTCATGGTGCAGCATGCTACCCACTACCACTCCAATAACTTAATGTGGATCATACTTTAGCGTGCTAGTAGTGGCGATAACAAAACGACGGAATGAAGTTGCTGCTTCAGTGAAGCTAAACGATGCATCAGAGATGTACACATATCATAGCGGGGGCTTGTTCCAGTCCCTGAGAGCAAGTAAATGTCTCGGCGTTTCAGCCAGCTGGCTGTCTCCACGCCAGGAAGGAGTGCGGTGAATTCCAATATTGTGTCTGCCCACCCTTTTTGAGACAGCAAGCCAGTCCCCCAAACAACTTATCTTCCTGCTACATCACTCGCACTACTCAATGGATCTCACTACTACTACTGCATGGTCGTTATCTGCTCATAATTTATAAATTAACTTATCACGAGGACGTTCTTGGGAGACTGTACAGTATGTTAAGTTTTTTGTATTAATCCTGCAGAAATAATCCAATTAGACACACTGTGTTGTCGAGATAAAATACAAAAAGTCAGTCCATTTATGTGTCTCATTGTCAATTAAAATCAAGTCGCGGACAGAGCAAGCCCCGAGAGGCGCCTGCGAGCTCCGTGCTACAATTCCCAAGCTGTATAAACCTCACAGATCGAGTCTGATTTTCCTTCGCGGTCAAGAGAGTCTTGATTTTATATATACTGTATACATATCAATTAAAAATGACATCGTACACGTACGTGCATGGTCCATTTGCCAATCCACTGCTGGATGAGGGGTTCCCCATGCCGTGTGAGTCGTGTAAAGTATTGTACCATGGTCAGTGCTGGCTGGTGAATGCAGGGAGTGCAGTGGTCATGAGCTAAGTTCTATTTGTCCATGGATTATTGTGCACTGGCCTCTGGGACATTGTAGCTTGCGCAGCAGCCTATGAGCCTTGTTCTTCTGTGCGTGGTGGTCACGAAGTGCTCGCGCTATCCAGGCTCACTCCTGCTGAGCCTGCAAGACATGACGAGATGGAGTGAATTGTGGGTGATTTCGTCGCAAACACAACCACGTATATTTGGGTAGTATTGAACTCATGGGTTTGAGTTTAATGTTGACAACTCGCCTCTGATTGGCGTGGTTGGCTCCGTATTGTGCGAGATAAGTTCAACACGCGGTGCCCACTGGGCTGAGGGATTACTATCTCGGGATGTGCGGCACGGCTGCTAGGTAGCTGTTAGATGCCACTGAAGTTAATTAAATAATGTGAATCATTCTGTTGCCATGTAATGGTGTCATTACATGGAATAGACATTATCGACCTTATGTCATAAGTTGGATAAGGCTATGTAATACGAGTGTTACAATGTAGAACACATAAAGAGTCGTTTCTCCATTGTTGTTCTAACCAAGAGGATGTCCACATTGGACGTATTGCCCCAAGGTAATGTCCCTGGTATTGAGCGCATTGGCCTTGACTTTGAGTCCCGTCTGTGTCTCGTGACAAATTATCTCTGAACCGGTCCTGAGCCTCACCCTCACTCGCCTCGCCCGCCAGCGTGGTGATGATGGGCAGTCAGCCCCCCTGATACAGCAAGATAGCATTGAGTGGCCTTCGGCTCTTGAGTGGATTGACAATCTATAAAAACAAAATACTCGATATACAGAAAAAGGCATTTTAAGTTTGAGAGTAAAGCCACTCAATTATATCAGCAGATTTTTCTGAATTGCAGAGTCTTGTATATTTTTATTCCCTGCATATTACACTCTGCCACATTCTCATACCCCCCAGGGCATGTTTGCTAAGTGTGTGCCTCTAATTTCTGTCTGCTGCGTGGCTGTGACTCCAGACAGCCTTTCTTGAGCACTAAATCTGTGACGAGCAGCAACTCCGCACGGCTTAAAGAGTTACATTCATGCTGCTCACGTTTGGACTTTGCGGCAGCGCTGTATTTCTAGAGTGGAATCTACAGGGATGAGCCAAGCAAAAACTCATTAGCGTACAATGTTACTTCTAAATAATTATTTTTTGGAATCTCACGGTAATAATAATAAACAACTTATAGCGCGCGTATATCACGAATCCAACTCATTGTTCTGTGGAGAACTCGGAAGCGTGGAGTCAGAACTCAAACAATTGAATGCCAATCGAGGCATACCCCGGTTTACTCCCATTGTGTGTTCCTCAAAACCGGAACCTAAATATAAAGGACTTCATTCGAAGCATTTTTGGTGGATCGCAACGTGGTACAATACCTACACAGAGGATGCTCAGTAACGTGCGATGCGTTACTATACTGTACAACCATCGGTGTGAAAAGTAAGTGTATATTATTTATATATTAATATAGATTACCTTGTCTATTATACGATACCACTTCTGAGAATTTGCAACAACACCACAAGAAATGTGCCTCCGGGTTCTGGAGACCACCTGGAGAAGATTCCAGGCAATGTTTACTGCTCTAAAGAAAACCAGTACACGAGTAAACGGCCGACTGCATCGGTTTTTGCATTTGTGCTGCATGGCTCTCCGATGTGTTCCCGGGATGTTCTGCATGTTGTTCGACATGGTGTCCAACGTTTTACTCCATGCGCTGGGAGCTTCAAGAACTGAAATTCAATTCCTAAAGAATCTCCCACCATGTGGAGCGAAACGTCAGACATGGTGCCGAACAATGCACGGTCACAACCAACAGAAGCAGGGAGAGCGTGTGGACTGGTCTGTTTACACAGCCACTCACAAAATTCCAATAAATGTAATCAAGTACTTATTTGCATTGTTAGGCTAATGTTTACCATTGCCCTTGAATAGCAGGCACACCCATAGCATGCATGGTTGGCATTGCTTTTTCCGCTCACAGATTTATCCGTTGGGAAATGAACATCAATTTACGAGCGTGTGAACCATTTATGTAACACTTTTCCAATGTTGTCCTGTAGGAAGTTGGTTTTATGATAATATAATCCAAAACCATGTTTTTTTTACAATAGATGTGACGTTTGCATGGAAAAGACACTTATATTGTTACGATATTACTCACAATTTTAAAGTTTTTTTTTAAAGCCGTTTTTATAGCTTCTGGCTGTGTATTCCCGGGGAATCACATGGTATATGTTTATTTATTTCAAAGACGATTAATTTAAATAACTTAAGGACATAAGACTTGGAGCTGCGGGGCAGTGGTTGGCCCACTGGCACTGTGAACCCAGCGAGCTGAGTTACATTTCTGAGCTGGGCTAACACCGGTGGCAAGTGCTGTCTGAACCAGTCCTGGGAACCTCCAGCACCGACTCGCACAGACCCAGCGTGGGGACTTACGCTCAAATAACCTCCAGGGCCCCCTTGGCGTGGGGAGGACCTCATCCAGCAGTAGATTTACTAAAGCGCTGTACACGTACCTGGGCTGAGGATAGGTGTGTAGGTTGGGGCGTGTGTTGGTCAATGTGGGTTTTGCGGGGCACTACGTATTTATGTGTGGATGTTGAACTTCTTTCGCACCGTACGTGGCTCACCGTGCTAATTGGAGTCGGCTTACAGCGGTAAGGCGACACTATTCATACTAAACTTTGTACGGTATGAGGTCCATGATGATCGTATCGTCCGTGTTGTAACCTACAACCATGCTGATGATTGTTGTTCATACATTGTTGATGGCATGGCAGTTGTATGACGTCATTATTTTGGTCGTTCATTTCACTACTTGTGTCACTGACAGAATATCTGAGTAGCATTGATTGTAAAGTAGCAATAATTAAAACAGTTTTGGCAGGCTTTTAATGAGTAAACTGCAGTGAGTGAATGTTTAGAGTAATCTTTAATCGTACAGAAAGTATAGCAAAGCACCAAACAATGCAATAAAAAATACAAATATAATTACAAGATTATAGGACACTATTATTATAATAATCGTCGAAAACTGATAGTGCCTTGAAAAACGATACAGTACAATACCACATGGTATGATGCAACACCGTACAGTAGCATATTTATACAAATTTGATAGGAACGGCACGGTATCGTATCGTGAAAAATGATATTGCGGTAAGCGTGGCATTTAGTGAGCGACGGTGACCCTTAACCCCCTCGTGGAACTTGACAGACACTTGACCAATGGGATCCCGGGCGTGGAGCGCTTCCCCCTCAGCTTCAAGTCTCAGTTCGGCGGGCGGACGTTCCGCCACGTGGTGCTGGGCGTCTACCACAACGGCCGCTTCGGCTCGCTGGGCATGAGCCGGCGGCCCGACCTCATGCACAAGCCGCTCACGTTCCGCTCGCTCTACGACCTCATCGCCGACTTCCAGGTGCGTCTCTCTCGCTGGAGTGGCCCGTGCGCGATGGACGCGTAAACAGAAAGGTTGGGGCAGCGCCTCGCCACAGGACGTACCGCGTGGGTTCGAAGGACCGTCGATCAAGCCGTGTCGACGCCCGACTGCTACGGCTCTATAAGTAGCTCCTCCTCGCTCGTCAGCGGCAAACAAGTCAACCGATCGCTTTAAAGAGCATTAGAAATGGACAACGCCTTCTATGTCTTCACTCCCATTCTACCTCGGCCAACGACAAATGTGTTTCATCGCCTAATTTACGCGTGTTGAACTTCCTTCACGCGGCCGCTGCAGGAGGCGTACCGGGGCTACCTGCACACGGTGACGCGCATCAAGGTGGGCCTGTCGGTGCCGCACGACTCGCAGAGCTTCGAGACCATCGCGTGGGACCACCTGACGCTCAACACGCTGCGGACGAGCGCGGCCGAGACGCGCAGCCGCTTGGAGCGCCACAGCAGGGACATCCGCTGCAAAGTACGAGGGCAGCGGGCCGAGGCCAGAGGGCATCCCCTTGCGCCCATTTTAAATGGAACCCGTTTGACACAATGGAGTTGATTGTGCCCTGGAAGCGTGCCGCTCTCCCGACCGAGCCGTGTCCAGGCCACGTCTGTCATTGGTAGCTCCAAATAAAGCGGTGGAGCGGTGATTGGGGCGCTGCGCTAGGAATCGCATTGCCTCAATTTGATTGCTGCCCACCGTTAACATCGGTGGCGAGAGATATTTGGACCGGTCCCCAGGCCTCTCCGTCACCAACCCGCACGAGCCGGCGTGGTTAAGTGTGGTAAAAAAATCGTCACGGCGGTAGCTTGACAAAAGGCTTCAAATTACAATTATATCATCGTAACGAGGTGAATCCACATAATCACTTAGTCTCCTGCCAGAGGCAGTTCATAAATGAAGAAATGTTGCCAAGGGAGATTTAAAGGAGTGTTCAGAAAAGTGGCTACACCCTACGCGGCCAGAGTGGGAGTAATCAACTGTCTGACCTCATCAAAAATGCCAAGCAGCAAATGTTGAGGCAATCCATTGTCTGTCTGTTTGCATATGATTACCATGTATTCCCCTTGCACCGGCGTCATGTGTTCGACATGTCTGCATCATGTGTTTGAGGTGTCTGTGTTGCGTGTTCCACGTGTCTGCGTGGCGTGTTTTTAGTGTCTGAGTCGTGTGTTTGACATGTCTGTGTTGCGTGTTCGACGTGTTTGCATCGTGTGTTCCACATGTTTACTCCGCCTTCCCAGCTGCGTAAGAGTCTCTTTGGGGTTCCGTCTCCACCGAGGGATCGTCGCCGGGGCAAGTCGGTGTCCCCGCACCGAGGGCTGAGCAGCGCGCTCGGCAGGCCCAGACGAGACGATGGACTGTGAGTGAACACCACCACCACCACCACACACCCTCCTAGCCTACCAACACCACCACCACCACCACCCTCCTAGCCCAACACCACCACCACCACCCACACACCCTCCTAGCCCAACACCACCACCACCCACACACCCTCCTACCCTACTACCACCACCACCCATCTCATCCTAGATCTTCTCAACTCTTGTCATTGTTATATCCCATTGTGCCAAGCCTCTGTCTGATGTGTGTTACCATCTGATCTTTTCCATATTCTATCTGTCGATTTCCATTGGTCGATTTCCATTGCATCGGTTTTCGTTTTAGCTTGTTTTTGGTATCCGACTTCTTTAGTCGCAGGTAGACATTTTCACTCTGGCTTTAGACCTATGAATCACTCAGCTACCACTCTCAATAATCATTACGAAGCGGGTTCTGTGGACAGTCGCCTCCTGCCAGAAGGCGGAGCATCAGCAGAGAGCTGAACACTTGACTTGAGATGTACATACCAGCTCAAGAAGCTGACACGAGCCACCGTGCTCAGCTGCTAGACCTATTTTTACATTTCAATGTGGGGGATTCGAAATGCGGACGTGGAAAGCCCAAGAGACTGAGGTTAACCTCGAGGCTCTCAGGGTCACTACTTAGTATCTTGTTACTGAATTTCTGAAGCTTGCTTTGCACCTTTTAATTGGTTCTGGGACCATGTGCTCTGTGGCTCATATGACGTTACGAGTTTGCGTTGCCTGTTAACGACTAAACCATACCATCCTGAGTTATTTTCATAACTAAATTAATGATCTAATGTAGAAGCGGCTGAGTGGTCCGAACACTGAGCCAGCACCGCTGAGGCGCTAAGTTTACATCCAGGCAGCTGCCCTGAATTAAACTAAAATCTCAAGTCTAGTTATTTGATGGCCTCAGCCTGTTTACCAATGACTGCATCAACAATATGATGTTCAATTCGTGTTTTCACTTGGTGCAGTGGTGAGCACCACAGTTGCGTTATGAATCCAGCGACCCGATTTCAATGCCCCTGCCTCAGCGAGCAGCTCAACATCAGAGGCGGACGACATCTCACGGTCAAACGACCTTCATAACCAACATGGTGTGGGGTGGCCTCCATCCAGCAGTGGATTGACACCAGCTCTGAATGATTGTTATTGACTTATTTTGAATTACTCTGCCCAGCTCAGAGAGTCATTCCCGAAGCCATTCTCTGACACAGCATGATGAACTGCTTACTGCAAGAGTTCTGAATGCAAATCTATTCATCTTGTGACCTGATGCCAATCGCTAATTTGGAATATAATTGGCATACCAATGGAATTAATTAAACAGAAATTATATTTAATTTTGAGTCACGTCACTAATGCCTCTGCATCTTAAATAAATAACTGTCTTAAGGGATGTTTTTTTTGTGATCATATTTCACACCATAATTACTAAAATACAACTTAATTCTTAATAAACGTAATTTGCAGAAACACTTTATGTTTTACGAATGGGCAGGAAATTCTGGAATCAATTGACTCAACTGGAGGGCCAAATACGTGTTAATTCTTCATGATTACCAGAATGCTCTCTAAGTCAAATTAATATTGTTAATCATCAGCTTGTCATAATGAGGCATAGATTCTGCTCTCTCGAGTTGAGTTTTAACAAAGCAGGCTTTTTTTGTCTTTTCTCCTATTTACTCTCTTGCGCAACAATCTCAGTGGCTACGCGCATCAAGCAGCTGACTGCAGCGCAGCGGTCTTGCTCGTCTAGCTGCGACTAAGAGTCGTCCGTCGACAAGCAGCCCTCAATTGCTTTGTCTTTGTTGGTGGTTTCACATGGCAGAGCAATAACGGCTGCAGCAGGGACCGTGTTTGTCTCTGCTTTCCTGCAGACTGCTCTCGCGCTCACTCCCCTCACGCTGCCCTGGTCCCTCTCTCAGGCTTGCCTGTGGGAATCCCTGATGAGAAAGAGCTTAGAAATCTGCGGGAGCACACTCTGCAAGTCGGCTCCCACACCACAGGGGTTTGGCAGAGCTGTCGACAGCTGAATTGTTATTTCATAATTTTAAACGTTACAATGCATGACAACTACATTCCAGAAATATGCATGGAAAATAAACATGTTAGAGTCTAATCAATCTCATCCAAATAGCGCGGTATTTAAACAAAATAAATCGTGGCAGGCACGTGGATACTGTGACGCTTTCAAACACACCGTTTGTTCTCGGCGGTACAAGATTTAATGAGCGGTGACGTCACACGGAGAGTGATTTGTGACGTGGGTGACGTAAAGTGGCACGCAATGACGTCCTGGGGAGGCGAGCGCGTGACGTCACTGCCGTGGCCGACAAGGCTTGCCCCATTGTCGCTAGGGCTGTTTCTTTAGTGGAGACTTTTAGGTAACCCGAAAATACATTTGCTTGGGTTTTACGTCATGATAGCAACACGCAACCTCATTCAGAAATTGTATTCGTGTTGGGTGATCTTCATGAGAGTTATTGTGAGCCCATGCGTTTTTTTACGGATAAACGGAGAGAGAGAATGCATTGGCGCTTTTGATTTTAGTTGGAAAGCATTAAAAACAAACAGCTGTTTCATGGAGAGTTTGTCCACTTTCATCGGAATGTGGAATTTACACCACCAAGCTCTGGGCCACCATCTCACACTCACTTCAGCAGGAAGTCACTTTTATATCATTTTACTTGTAAAAAATGCACAGTCTTACTCGTACGAATTTGGAATAAAAGGTCCATCCGTGTCTATCATTGTGTAACAGGTGCACGCCCGGAGGGAGGAAGTCTGCATTGCCGGTCACCCTCACCGAGAGCGGCTACCAGATCCGAGTGTGACCCAGCGAAGCGGCGATGATCCGCAGCAGGAGCTTGGAGGGCGCCTCTCCCTTCGTCGCCGAACCCTCCCGGCTGCAAACTCCTCGCACAGTGGACGCTACTTAACGCGGCGGATATCAAGCCCTGATCGATGTGGCTCCGTTTCTTTTTTTTTAAACGTCTTTACCTGGGATTCCCTTCACTGCGCGGAAGCTGAGTTTGCAGCAGGGTGGGGTGTCGCAGCCTGCCTCGCGCGTGGACACCAGTTTCTTTGGAGACAACTTGACACGGGCGATAGCTCCGTGGGGGGAATTTTAAGGCAGAAAGCAGAAGTTAGATTGTGGTATTGTGTGCTCGGCTAGGGATAATCAAAAGTAGATGGGGTTTTTTTTCTTTCCAATTTACTATAATGTGTTTTTAAACAGATAAAAGAGGTTTATTTAAATCCATCTCTCATGAGAATGAATTTGAACCAAAAAGGGACGTGGTCCCACGTGCATGTTGTTTTGATACGAAGTGCGATTTGATACTTTAAAAGTACTGAGGGACAGAAGCAATCTAAACTTTGTAATCCCCATGTAGATGTAACAAGGCAACTTTTTACTTCCTTAGAATAGTTGTTTTCAATAGCTTATTCTTATCTGCATTAGATGTGGGAAAACTACAATTGCGTACAGTAGGGTCCACGATTCAGACAATCTTACGGGCACTGACAGCGGTTATAAGAAATAGAACTTGTCGCCTCTTGGATGAGAAAATGTACTTAACTCTGAACGAGGATAATAGGCAGGCCTCCCCACTAAACAACGGCCTGTGTTGTAGGAAATGCTATGAGTGATGCCACCAGGCTTTTATCCTCTGATAACCATTATTATAAAAAAAAAACAGCATTAAAATTACAGCCATTCTTAAACCACTGACGGATTAACCCCCGTCCCCTCCCTTGCACCACGTTGGTCACGGTTTTATGTCGTTATTTTGTTTTGACCGTTCAAAGCGTGCGTTGCGATGGGTAGGAATGGCTTCTGACATCACTCGTGAATGATTGGCCGTGAATGTGAGTCGCAACACGGCCACCCGGGTTGACAGCGCTGCCCACTGAGCCGCTACCGCTCCGGCCCACGGCAGCGCTACGGAAGTGGAGACTGCTCACTCCGATGCAGCTTGCCCAGCCAAGCGCTGTGCCCCCTTTTCCTACCCGGCATCGTGAACTCCCTCCATCGAGGAGGCGCTCACGTGGACTGAGATGGGAACTCAAGACGTGTGCTTGGGCTGTGTGGGCAGCTGACCTCACAAACAGTGCTGCCTGTTGTAGCGATTATTGTTTTTAGACTGCTGTATAAGGTTTGCAACTCCCATGTATTGAATATGAGGAACAGCTGACCACTTGCGTTTTTTTTCCCATAGACTTAATTTATTTTATTCTTGGAGGAATGCCATACAACCACTTTTGCTTTGCAGGGATTAGGGCTGCGGTTATAGAGCATTAGTCAGAATAGTTCAGGCCAGGATTTGGTATTTCGCTGTCCAAAATCTTCTCGCCAAATGGCAAACATAAATCTCTCATTTAAGTAGCATCGATACCTAGACATTGGTTCTCAGGGACACGCTTTGAATTAAATTGGACGGGTTTTTTTTTGTATAGAGAGAAGAATGAAAGGGCCACTGGCTAAATGTAAAATTCATGCAAGCACATTGTAAAGGAGCTTTGTGTGTGTGTGAGCGAACATTAATCATGACGCACATTCTTAAATGGGCGCGATTCCATGGATAATGAAATCCAACTTATCACTGAACACAAACACGTGGCAAAAAAAAGTTACAAACACTAAAGAAACAAATAGCACAATATATTCCGTTGCGTTTAAGTTTACTTTTTAATATAGTTTTAGTGTAGAATCCCACAAGTGTCAGTTTGCTCATTAACATCCTGAAGACGGACACACGTTTTTATATAGCAGGGGCTGTTTTACAGTTATTGCATTTTATTTAAAGTAAACACAGCAGAGCTTGTGTTTCAAATACTGCCTCATACCTAGACATAACCACCAGCCGTGCTTTAACATTATGGCCTTAATCAGACGGTTACATTATCAAGCATACTTATTAAAGATACATTTCTGTCCACTGCTGTGACTGAGAGATTGAGATGGCAGTGTTGTTACTTGTGATATATCCATCATGAAGCAGGGCCACGCAGCGTTGTTGTGCACGACTGCGTTTGAGAGTAAATGGTAACACGTCCCAGTCGTGGTGTCTCGCAATGGTTGGAGGCAAGCGTGTTATGAAGATAAAAGTGCAGCCCCGCAATTGCTTGTCCACTCCACTGCTAGCAGAAGAGCCTCCACTCGAGAGAGCTTTAGAGAGCTCCTCTATTGGACCTTGTCTTTTCCAGACGTCTTCGAACAGTTGGGAGTATCCACAATCTACCCCACCACATGTGACCAGCGGATCGACTAATTAGAATTATTATCCAGTGATCACAACACGGGGCTATAAAAGGCAGAGATAAATCCACTTTTTGTTGGTGGGCGAGGGTTGTCGTGGAGAGACGCCATCTGTTGCGTCTCTGTTACGAGCCGCAGCTGTCCCTGGAGTATGAAGGCACAAAGCATGAATGAAGGCGGGTAGTTCCCATATTTAGACAACCACTGGTATGTGTCCTGGAGGCTCTGTTGCACTCGACCGTAGTGGTTTGGTTTGCATCTCGTACTATATGTGAATATTTACACAGCAAACGGGGGGAGATGGCGTTCCATTTTGATGAAGGAATGGTAACGTTTAAGAGAACACACCGTAGACTTTCCTGGACCTCGTACAATGACTGAGTGTGCAGCTTTAAAAAAAAAAACTATTGTAAATGACATGTTTCAGACAACAGCAAAAGACAATATCTTCTTTTCAACACTCCATCGCGAGAACATTTGCCTTCTGTCACAGTTGTGATGAGCGGATTGATTTTTCGTTCTGGTAGAAGGGCAATTTATTTCAATACTTGGCAGAAAAAAGCAACACGATTATGATTATCAACATTTAATGCTGAATTGTCTATTTACCGCAGCACAAATCAATCCCCTTTCCTCAACGCGCGAATGACGTCCAAGGAGTCGCCACGACTCCACTTCGTCTTGTCCGAGCAGTGTAGCTGCAGACTGTTCTCATTTCAGTTGCTAGAATTTCTATTCGGCATGTCAATTAGAAATCGTTGGGCTGCGTCACTTTTCCATCGTCGAAACTCATTAGGCGTTGGATAATTTTCAAACGAGTGTCACGTTATCCAGGCTGCTCGTAAGGACTTGGATTGAAGAGTGGTGTTGGCATATCAACAATGTTTCCTATTCACTCCCAATTTTATAAAGTCTCAAATTTTGTTTTATTCCAAAGGTCCGTTAACACATTGTCCTGGTAACTGAACCACCCCCTCCGCTCCCCCTCCCAATGGGTTTTCCGCAGAGACGCTGCAGGGAAGACCGTCTTGAGAACGATTCCTTCTCAGTATTTCACGCAAACTGTTTGCCAACTCGTGTTGTTGTCCTGTGCAGTCACATTTTGTGTTCCACCTTTCCACTTGATGGTAATTGCTTTTTAACCTAAGCGAAGCAATAACAACATCGTCACATTTGGGTGTCTTACACCTGCTACCCAAAACGTGCATAAGCTTTATAACAAGAACCATATTTTGCACTATAAGTGATCGCTCATCCTCTCGTATTTGCAGCAGAGGCCAACAGTGATATTAGTAAACTTAGATTGTGTTTGTAGTGATGCTTATGTATAAATATCGTTGCAGATTTAGACTTTGAATGACACTTGTTTTTATTGTTTTCATAATTGTTATGGACAAACCGTAGGAAGGGTACGTCTCAGATATGCAGTGGTATTTTAAAAATCGCACAGCAGCTAACATCTGCTCTTGACATTTGAAGCCTATTCTGAAATGCTGTATAATGTCATTGTTTAGGGCAGGGGAACCTCCGGCCTGTTGACGCCATTGATCCGGCGCCACAAGCATCTTTGCTGCACTAATCGGGTACTCGAGGGGGACATTTTGGACTTGCCGAGTAACCAAAGTGTATCGTTAGGGAATGTGTGGCCAACAAAAAGTATTCGAAAATTATGTCGGGCCCTCAGGAGAAGGCTCCCCACCCCCGGCTTAAGGTCATTCGACGCATGAGCAATGTTCGACATTTACAGGCTCAGCTGAGCAGATTTGTTGACGAGGAGACGATGCTGAAATCAAAATATTTTAATGTTGACACGTGGATCACTTCATGAGCATATAGCCTGGGATTTGTCCAAATGTAGTATTGTTTTAGCGAGCATTAGCTTAGCATTAGTTTCATATCTTTATAAAACTGCAATTTGGTGGCCATTTCATATTGTTTGCTATTTTTACATATTGAACACTTTTTTTTACGTAAGTCTTCTACAGTTGGATGCTGTATATTTAAAGCTTCAATAATACAAGAATAAAGCCACATCTTACGCGGGTATAAGTCCATTATTAAATTCCACTGGGGGTTAGAAAACGTAACGTACGTATGGCCTCGACAACTTGATTACCAGTACCATTACAATACACACCAACAGCAGATTGTTAGTATTATCTTGCAGGAAGCACACTTTATTGGAAGATTGAAACCTTGCGGCCGACTGAGGAACGACTTTAGACTGAGATATCGCAATCTTCTCACTCTTGACACTCAGTGGAGGCTTTCCTGGACGATCTAAATGACATAAAAATAATGTGTCGCTACAAAATGTTTTATTTTAAAATTTACGATTTTGTTTTACATTCAACGAAAGCACATACTAATTCGTTATAACATTACGTAAAACGGCATCAATGTGATATTTATTAAATCCGACTGTGAATACCAATGTCTATTTCTTTCAAGATGCCCCACCTACATGCTTCCCGTCAACTCTCATTGCCGTGGTTTATTCAACTCCATAAATCATGAACGGTTTGGACATTTGTAGTGAAGACAATAGAGGAAATGTTTGCTTGAATAACTTGGTTTTGGAAGTGCAAGCCGACGGCTCACAATTCAGAATGGTTGAAACAACAAACTTGAGATGCACCGTACACACCAGGGGTGGATCGCTCTTGTTTTGTTGAACTGTTTGCGGCGTTACACGGTCTTGTTTTAGCAATGTTGGATAATCGTGTTAAAGCTATTTTAGTCCAAGGGTGCTAAAATAAAGACGTGAGATTATTACTCGGGATGACCAAGATCATCGTGAATTAGAACAAAGCGTCTCGTCAAAATAAACACATTGTGTATTATAATAATTGTTTTTTTAAACACATTGTGTATTGTTGTTCTGTTACAATTACATTTGACGACACCAGCTCCCTGCCATCACGTGGCCTGTGTTATTGCTGTTGAGTACGCATTATCCTGAGTTTAGTACTCGATACTTCTTTATAAAGTTCTGCCCATATTTTACAGATTCTTCACGTGACGTTGCCCGATGGATGCCGTCCCCTTCTAAGCGGCGCAGTTTTAATCCATCGTCACATTGGTGGCCGAGTTGTACAGGGAAATATCCCACATCTTAAAACAAAAACATCATAGTTTGTAAAAGTGGGGCACACCTGATGAGCCTGTCAAGTTCAGGACAGTCGTCGTTTACGTGAAGATTAACCCATAAGAACAAGATCATTAATCTTAATTTAACCCCTGTTCAACATCAATGGCAGACTGGAGTGAATTTGGAATCATAAAACTACGAATGGTTATTTGGTTTCCATTTTTGTAATAAACGATATGTAATATAAATTTGAAAATTATTTACAAGTTCATGTGATCTCTTTGGGGAGACTGAAGAAGGGAATTCATGGATTTCAGACGACAAAAGGTAATTGTGTGCTGGTTTGTAACATGCATGACTTCTGTCAAATCTACAACTTTTACGTGTGAATCAATAAACGATTAAAATAATAAGATATACCACTGTGTTTTGCTCCCATAGAGCCATCTATCTTCAACATATGTATGACTCAAAGGATAGCTATTTGATATCCACGTGCATTACATGAAGCTCAAGGCAGTTTAAGAGAGAAGCGTTGCCATGTTATTGTTGCATTCTGCCACGGCGAGCAGCTTCATTGGGTCAGAATTACAATTAATGTGGGCACGTATAAACATCATCTTTGTAAATGTGACAATCATATCGGGTGGCATAAAACTATGACGTGGCCGAACCCATTGTACTGGCTACAACTCTACATTTTAAGTTAAATCGTTAGGGCATCCATGACTCTTATTTGGAACTAGTTACCTTGGCAATGCATAAGTACATTTCTTCAGATGCGCTTTATGTAACAAATGGTTAATCCAATAATTTCAGTGGCTATACATGGAGATAATACAGTATTAGATTTGGGATGAGTTGGTAGAAATACAAGTCCGTTAAGCTCGTCAATGAAGAATAACGTATACTTAACTTTGCCTTTTTATTTAAACAGCAACAAGTTTAATAAAAATGAGGCACAAATCAACATGCACAGAAGTAATTTAAAAGTCTCAACTTGTTAAAGAATGAACGGTAAATGTGCAATACATTAGACGATAGTATGTCCATTACATCTGCTCACTGGCATACAAGTATTAGAAATACAACATTGTGAAACCTGTTAAAGCTCCTGGAACATTAAATGTAAACTTTAACGGTCAATATTGTTTCCTTAATCTACACAGCACTCACGACAATTATCTATGCATGTTGCAACTGTTATAACACACTGGAGCCAGAACCGCATTCATTCGTGTGGGTTTGAACCAACGATGGAATATGAGGGTGGAGATGTCCTCACAAGTTAAAAGTCTCCGAGAACGGGCAGACGTGGCATATACAGAGCACCAGGAGGGCTTTAAAGACGTCAGGCATCAGAGAGCACAGGCTGGCAGCTTTTTCTCTCTGATCTCCCTCTGTGCCTTTAAACCTAATTTCAAACCCACGTAGCATATACCTGGGGTGATTTAGGCACGTGATATGCTTCTTTTCAATAACTTGTGACATTTATCTCACAAACCAAAGAATGAATTCAATGATGTATGGCATGTACTGTACAGAAGATTAGTTTGCAACTGTTTTACCCCACTTCACAATGCTAATTTAGCGTTTTCAGAAACTAAACTACGTCACCCTATACACTTATGAAAATCACTCATAGAGCTACTTCCAAGTTAACTGCCTGTACATCTTTTAAATAATTGTCCAGTGAAGAGTGACTTGCAGTGATATTCAGAGACTAATACAGATGTATAATTAACTCGGGTTTTGAACTTTAAAATTGCCCCACTCAAACAATACATCATTCCTAACAAAGACAACATAAAAAACCGTAGCACCAGTTCACATTGAACTAGTGTAATAAAAAAAACATCCTAAACCAAATTAAATAGGCCATAAACTGACCCTTAAAGGCTATATTGCATCTACCTGTTGCTATTGTTCTTTAACGCATCTGCACCTTGTGGTGCACAGATTCACAATGTTGTCCTCACACGCCAAAATGCTGTTCACGTCAAGATGCCATAACTACGGTGGAGTGGCCAGACATTGTCAACGACCCTTGAAGAAACTCCACCTTATTACACTGCGTGTTACTTTTTTGTAGGGAGAGTAGAAATGCTGAGATTAGCGACACTAGCAGGCTAATTGCAGTATAAACAACAAAACTCAATACATTCGTGCCATTCGTGCACCACTGCCAGACAATCGCCAAACAACATGAGGTTGTGAGATTATTTATAAAATTTGAAACACTCACCAATGTGCCTTATCAGTTTGCCAAGACATAAGGACGAGGTTTTATTTCTATGACCTGTTAAGAGGTTTACCTGTTTACAAAGTAAAAATGCAATTTGGGATTGGAAATTGTCGTGGCAATGGGACTTGACTGTGTTCCATACATCGCTTGAACGCGCACTTTAAGAATGTAAAGACAAAAATAACTTTCAAAATAACTAAGCTATTGCTCTTCTTATATAAACATGTCACCAATTTGTCAGTCAGTTGCATTGCTAACACATATATACATATAAACAACCACAATGTTCCTCTCCTCCATATGTTACACACCTGACATAGTCAACTTTAAAAAAATTACTCAATGGGTTTTCTGCCGTGACCCTGACTCACACCTGCTGGTTCTACTTGCAGCGCATCTACATTTAGATACATTCCACTTTAAGATTGTTTACTCCACTTACTGTCAAAAACACATTCTCGTTCATTTGAAAAGAAAACCTTTAGAGCCAAATAGCTGGTGTTTTGGAAATATGGCCACATAACAAAATCAGGACCCCTAATAACCATGGTAACTCAATACATATTCTTTGGGGTTTTCGGTAAAGTCACGTAGAAAACAACCCAAAGAATATGAATTAATGCAGTCACGAAAGCTTTAAGTCAAGATGTAACTCCATACATTGTTATACGAGTCTCCTTAATTGGCTACAAAAGATATTTAATGGTGATTAGCTGCCAAATTGCGTGGCTTCTATCCTAATATTTGTATAGACATTTTCACTATTTAAAGATTGATTCCTTGCTAAACGTTAAATATTACAGACACAAATAGCAGTGAATCATGCCAAGATGTGTGACCAATGTTACACACTCCTGTTATGTTCCAAGGAAACCCCCTCACCCCCCAACTCAAGCAAATGAACAAATGAATTTTGGATAAATATCAAACACAGATAGCTGCTTGGAATTAAAGCAGAACAGAAACGCTACTTCCATTAGCACATCTCACACCGAGCCTTCTAAACCATTTCCCACAAAACAAACCCTGAAGTTTTAAACTCCAACTATGCATCTAGTAAGTCTCTTGGAATTGAGTATGTTGATCAATACAAGTCAAGAGGATTATAAGAGTGGAATAATGTCACAATTAGCACTCGGAGTGAGTGTGATTACCCCACAGTGTAATAACTCTGAGCTATAACAATTGCAATGCCAAGGCATTACTATATAACTGGATGTTTCTGCCATGTTACATCTGCATGAGCTATTCCATTTGGAAACCAGACATGCACAATTAATCCAATAAGAAGCACAGACACCCCCTTTAAGAACAATCGCATTTTAAGTGGAATACAATTCCTCATTTCGTGTTCATCCGATAGCAAATCTTTAGAGGCATGTACTCAACGATGCTTCTGCAGAAATCCTGTATTGTTCAGTCACATAGGACAATAAGTCCAGCCAGCTACCCACACCCATGTGTTCCCAAAGGTTGCTTTTTAATATCTGTGTAATAATGAACTACCTTGTGATAGGCTTTGGTCGGCACAGAAGACATGGGAGTGCTTGTAAAGCCAGTCGTACGTGACAGCGATTCCCATGCCCTCCCACACAAACTCTGGTGCATGGGAAGGGTGGGAAATAGTGATTGCTAAGCCAAAGTCTATTTGTAGTGTCATAGATAATTGGCCCATTAATTTAATCGAAATTAAACATGCTTGCCGAGAGTTTAGTTTGCTTTATGTCTTTCGTTTGTTGGTGTGAAGGAAGTTCAACACACATACATATGATTCACTGGTTTGAATCCAACCTAAGCCCCCAAAAATGTGTTGTGTAGTACATTATAATCAAGCTTTCCATTTACAATTCTGCAAAGCTGTACCACATCACATAAATTGGTTTTGTGATATGGAGCGTGCTGCTAACTTCTAATACACAGAACTCTCTTTTTAATTTGCAAGGAACTACATTATCCTGTACTGTAGGAGGTAGAATTCCCATGGGACAGAACCGTTACAGTTATCGTCCAATAGATTTTAAGTCATGGTTCAGTGTTCTTATGTAGAGGACAAACTGTGTTTTCCAAGGAGTGTAGGAGGTACACTCACAACACTGACTTTACAGCCATCTTGTTCTCTACTCTGACCTTTCAGTGAAATGCTTTAAGTCTGTGTTAATGCAGGGTGTATAAACTGTGGCTTTGTATTCACTGTGTTTTATGAACAGCTAAGCACTTGTGGCAATACTGCACACTGCTCACCGGGGGAGACGTGAACAGTACGGTGAACAACTTAAAATGCAATGCAAGCACAGACAACGGAAAGTAAAAGGAAAGTATTTCTTAAGTATGAACTTAATCAGGAAACATTGATGAATAGGATTCTTGTTTTTTTATATAGAAAATTATCTTTTTCATTATGTTTAAGTGCCATTTCATATTTGAAACAAATCGTGTTGCTAGGTATGGCCGTTTTGTTGAAAATTATGTGCATTTAAAACATTCCATGGCTTTTGCTTTCCACCTCTAAGTTTTCCAGAAAGCAAAACAAATAGCGATGTTCATGCAGCCAGGGAGTGAACAGCAAAGTATGGTGGAGGCTTCACATAAGCTCGGTTTGAATTTGGCCGTGGGGAGAGGGGCACTGATTAAGCTCATAATTTGGCCATTGCAGAGACACTGTGAGCAAAACTTGAATGGCAAACAGTGAGGTAGAACATTCCACTGTGAATGTTGCTTGCTTTTTTCCACTGGACAACCGCACAATGGCCACACCGAGCCAGCCCAGCGTGACTCAGGAGGCACCGATTTGTGTTTCCACTCCAGAAGCAAAGCCGTGCAGCTGACATCACACACACGGAGCGAGTGGAGATGCACGTAGAAGATGAGGCGACGGTCTGCCTTGAGTTGTTATGTGCAAAAAAAGGCATCGATAGAGTCCGCCGCTGACCCTGCTTGGCCCCAAGTCACATGTCTTGCGATGCTCAGCGTAGCATTGTTTGGTTCTTGCTCAGGTCACCGAAAGCCAGTGGAAAACCACCCATACCGCGAGGGCCCCGCGCTGGCTCGGCTCGGATATGCCAGTGGAAATGGGGTAAGAGGAGTGTTAGACGTCGACCGGAGTTAAAAACGACGTCCAGATGAGCCTCATACATCGTAGTGGGCATGCCCATTCTTGCCCAAGATATTTCTCCAGCAATCAATATTAATAGCAGCTGGCGGGCGGTGAGGGGGGTTAGAACTCGAGGGACAAATTTGGCGAGAAGGGGCAGGTGGTCGGAGGGCGCCGCCTCATTGGGGAGGCCCTTGTGCTGCCAGATCTGCGGCAACGTGAGCAGGGTGAGGCGTGCAATAGGCCTCAGCCGCCAGCCAAACCCCGGGCACCTGCTGCCTGCCTCCCTCCAGGGCCGGCCTGCACACGTCACATTGCGCACGCCACAACACACACTGCTCAAGCATCAAACAGGCAGTGGTCACCGCATCATCGCGCGCTTACAGAGGCGCTTCTTCCGCCGTCTGGAACGCCACTTCCTTCCAATATTAGGAAGCCACTGGAGCTAAGCACAATTAAACCTAGCTTAAAAACAAATTTATTAAGAACTGCTTTTGGTTGTGTTTAGTTTGTCGAAGCTGTACAGCAGTAAATGCAGTTCTCCTTCTAGCTTTACATTTTACTTCCACAGAACTTCACATGCTATGAGCAGTATTCTACATCTCATAGGAGTGACATTAAACAAAATTATTAAAATTAAAGTGGAGCACTGGCAGAACAAATAGCAGAATGTTAGAAATGTCTTGCTCATGTCACTAGCGGTGTAAAGATTCCACTCGAGGATATTTTGGGTCTATTCTTCCACGCTTCTTGGAAGAGGTGACCTGTACCCACACTTTACACCAACTCGACGTGACCTGCCAATCGACTGCTGCGTACACACTTATACTGCTGTGCCAGGAGACGCAATTGAACCGGTGACCTCTGGATTGCAATTCTCATGTACTAACCACCACGCCATGGCAGCATTCAATAATCTTGTAAGCACAACGTTGAAAACAGAATTATAAAAATGAGCATGGAGGATTTGTGGAATAAATCGTATATCACAAGAGCTAAAGCTGTAATATCACACTGCCACATGGACCCCTATTCATATAAAGAACTGTTAGTCTGTTGAAAGCAGTGTATCTCATACAAAGGTATTATAATAAGAAAATGGATATGGGTTAAGACACACCCAGGCCCTGGATGGGCATCTTGCAACAAAGGGACAATGATACTCAAACAGAAACTGTGTCCCAGGATTAACAAGAGCACCATAGCAAGCCTTTTGGCTTGCAAAAGGGTAAGATTGAGGCCAATGTAATGGCTTAGCTTTTATACAGAAATGGTTACATTAATATTAATATTTAATACCATAAAGCACCATTCTACAAGGTGCTCAAAGTGCTGTACATAACAAAAATAAATAATTGCCCAAGGGCGGGGAAGACTGAGTGTTGGAGGTAATTTAGAGAACCAAAAGCCAGAGAAAAAAATGTGTCTTGAGGTGGGGTTTAAACACCGCCGGTGTCTTTGAATTGCGAACAACACTGGGCCAGGCACTCCACAGATGGGGAGCAGCACAACAGAAGGGCCACCCAGTGTGGAGGAGCCACATCCTGGAAACTCAGAGGGGGCACCAGCCATCAAAACACTAAGACTTCGAGATGTGTGTATGTTGAACTTCTTTCGCACCGTACGTAGCCAAACGTGCTAACCGGGAGGGATGGCACGTATCATCGGGTCGGCAAATTTGCGAGATATTAAGATATCAATACATTGGTTTCTTCATTACTGTGCCTAACGAAACCTCAGCATCCAGTGAAGAGCACTTGCCTTCGAAGGGTGATGGACTCGGACATGTGTAAAAAATGTAATCCACTGTGACTCCTGTTGTGGATGTACAGATGGTCGCCTCCATTAGGTTTTCCTCTGGGACGAAGTGTGAGTAGACGGAGTTGAAGCTCATCCTGTGCTGGATCGCCTTAGGGAAAGGGCTTGGGGTCGGCAAGGGAGGGAGAAGTGAAATTCGGTGGGCAAAGGAAGACAGCGATGGATACAATGGCCATTTATTGTACACCCACACGTTAATATAAAGTAATGTCACGTTATGCAATTACGATTGTGATGTTATATACGTTCAAAAGCAAACAGGTAACATATTTTTTGTTACTGAAGTTGTTAGGAAATAGATTATTGTTATTAAAGATGTTAGATACATTGTATAGCCTTATGCACCTACATTAAATTTCAATTTGATAAAATACATATTATCACCATGAGGTTTAATTGCACATAGCTTATATATTTTATTATTTTATTAATAACTAAAACGATTCTCGAATAAAATTATATAAGTTATAAATATGACTTTCAAAATGTTGTATAACCACACCATAGAATAATGAACGTGCATATTAATATACAATATTGCCTTTTTTCAATGATCCGCCCCCCTTTTACAGTTGATAATTTGAAACGCGTCAAATGTCAAAAACGTTACCGCTCTGTTGAGCATATTCAATGTCAAATCTACAATCAAGTTTCATTTCATGGGAAACCACACTGGCAGTCAGGGACATATGGTAAAAATCCCGTAAGTTTCATTCAGCTGACTGACAAAGCTGTCAGAATGACTAAAAGCTAAACAATACCAGAGCTCAGTGGCACCCCTCGAGAATAATTTGAAAAAATGGGAGTGTCATCTGTTGCCATGTCTTATAGCCTAGGGAGTTTGATGGGCCCCATTAGGGTTCAAGTTACGCATCCAAGGCTGGTATGACGACCCCACCACCATCTGTGCTCATGACATCCAGGAACACCTTCTCCCATTACGCTGGGATAGTAAATAATGCACGCACACTGCAGTGCCGCCCACATTTAATAGCATTTCTCATGAGCACACGTTCCTCAGACATAATCACAGATGCAACAATCCCCTAAATGAAAGAAAATTGGTAACAAAAACAATGTGATGTGGCAATTTATATGCATGGCATTCCACATTCTATTTGTGGGGATGTCATTGCACCAATGTTGTGATGGGCTGCAGTGTGACGTCAGTCGGCTTTAACAGCTGTTCGGAACTGGTCATGCTGTGAAAATTTCCGCGCAAGGTATGTGCATGAAAGCTAGGCACTCCCTCTATCGGACAAACAGTACCACTGCTCATTCCAACAAAAACAACACAATCGACTCAATTAGCCCCAAATCAACGCTGCGGAAAGGAATAACCCCAAAGAACGTAACACGATGGTTTGGTAGTTCAAGCTATTTCCTTCAATCACCTTGAATTCTGGATTCAAGCGCACAGTAAATAATGATAGTGTCATTCTCACAAGAGCAAGTCGCTGTGTAATACGTGCCAGCGTACCTGGAGTAAGTCTGATAACGTGATCCGCCTTCGGATGAGGGATAATGTCCACATGGGGCGTTCCCTGAAGGTGCTGCCGTTAGTTGGTTGCTGGCTACAGCCGGAGCTGTAGCAATGTACCGTGAAAGCAAAAACACATGTTCATTCAGAAGGTTTCTGGGTTAGATCACGTAAATATAAATGTGCCGTTGACCCACCACCCGACACAGCCAATTCACGTCAACAAAACGTGACAATTGGCGATAAGTTCAGTACATCGGTGTGATGACGAGTTAAACCACAACATTTACAATTGAGTACGAGGTTTCGCTGGTGATTACAACCAGCTTCATATAGCGAATTTCCAGAATTGTGAAGTTATTTTGCCGAACATTTACTTCAGGAAAATAACTATAACCAATCTCTATCAGTGATTATCATGAAGTTTTTGCTTGAGAGCTCTCTAAACGATACTTAAATATCTTGATTTTGATAAATAATGAAGTTACATAATATTCAAGCACAATGCAGCATGCCCCACAAATAGCGTCAGTCAGACATTATTCACTCCACAATTGCACCTGGGGGTAGGCCGTTGATTTACACGTTCACCACTTGCTCTGACAATATGTGCAGTTGGTTATCCCCAATTAAAACGAGAATAGCTCAGTATGTAACGATTTACCCCGACAGAAATGTTATGAATTGTCACAATACTGTGGTCGTAACTTGATTCAACAATACATTAGTTTGCATCTAGCTTAAATGTAACATTGACATTCAATTCTATAGTAAAGGTTTTCTTGTGGGTTAGATCGCGTAAATATAAACTTGTCGTTAAAATCGCCACTAGCTGACAGAGCCAATCAGTAAGGTTTGTCACGTGAACATTAGCATTAATTTACATAACATTTAAACTCGGCATTACCAAAAACATGTATCCTAATGCACATGTCGTGAGCGTAAGAATCCGTTTTAATCAATTGATTGGTGCATCGTTAGAAGCCAAACGCTACCTCCAGGCGTGTAGTGGGTGAGCGTGAGGAGTTGTTTTCTGTACCTGCTGCCCGCTCTTGCAGCGCAGTGGCGGCTGTGGTACCCAAGCTGGCCGGCGGTGACGGTCGTTGTGCCGACTCTGGCGGCTGGAGCGGCTTGGCTTGTTGGGCTGCTTGAGGTTTGCTCACCTCCATGTACTGGCAGAACGGAGACACGCCGAGTGCTTGAGGCCAAAGCGGGGCTTGCAGCAGACGATGATTTGTCTGGTACACCTCCTGCTGCCCTGACACCTGCGCACACACACACACACACCATCGCTCCACTTAGCACAGACGTTGAGTTTGCTCTACAATTCTGTGCAGCCTTCGCGATAGGAGGTGAAGCAGTCGGGCAGTGGTTTCGTCTACACTGTGAACCCGGCGATCCAAATTCGATTACCAGCCATGGATGACATTATCGGAGATATGAGCCGGTCTTGGGTGCCCTCTCTCGACTGCCCCACAATGAGCAGCAGCCTAAGTATGGTTTCACAACTCCTACGGGGAACCCTTCATTGGGCTGTACATTATTATTCAAGACAGACACGCCTTGAACCAAACCTTAATAGCTCGAGTTCTTTAAATGGTAATTATGCAATCTTGATTTGAAGCTTTCGTGACTGCAGGAATCCATACTCGATGATTCTTTCGGTAAAGTCACGTAGGTATAAAATAAAATAGATCACGACGTTTCGGGCGCAACACAAGCGTCCGTCATCAGTTGGGAAAGCATGGTCTGCTGCTGAGGCAGACTGTTTTAAAAGGTTTGAAATGGGTGTAGCTCAAGGGTCATAAAGAAGTGGCCGGGGCTAGTGATGTTAATGTGAGAGATTAGCATGTAACTGTAAGAAAGAAGTGGCTATGTTAATGTGAGGGATTAGCATGTAACTGTAGAAAAGGAGAAGAGTGGCCTCCTCGACGAGGGAGTGCAACCCAACGGGTGCAATCCGAAGGGCCTGTGAGTATGAGAGTGCAATCCATAGGCATGAGAGTGCAATGCAATTATGCAGTCAATAATAACTGGATCATCTGAATTCCTTTCTTTCATCGCTGCTGTCCAGTAGTGGCCTTCAAGCGTTTTGAATTCTGCTTCTTTGCCCACTCTCGACATCGACTCTGTAGTTGATTTTGTCTCTCATCTCTTGTTCTCATTTCTTGTTCTATCACAACCATATCGGCGACTTGTTTTCCGTATATATACATTCCTTAAGCTACCTCTTCGACTTACTCCTAACGTACTACTTTCCATAGATCTTTGGGAATATGCGGATGCTACGGAGCTCTGGGTTTGACTCAGCAATGCTCCCCGGTGTCCCTCAGCTCTTCCCAAACACCACTTGTGGATGCTCAGCTGCAAATGAAACTATGCATATAACAAGAGGTAGAATGAGACCAAACGAACCTGGCCTGGCTGCCCGTTCTGTCCAACATCGCCCGTTCTGACACCAGGCGACAATTCGCCTTGCAGAATCCTTGATGTGCAAGACAAGCCACACGTTTAAAAGTGTGCTCAATCCATTCTAGATTAGAAGTTTTCATGACTGCAAGGATCCATACTCTTTGGTTCTTTTGGTAAAGTCACGTAGGTGAAAAAATTATAATAGTTATTTATATATATATATTTTCAAATTTTTTTCCCCACCTAATTGACTTTACCGAAAGAATCAAAGAGTGTGTGTTCAATCCACCGAGCCACTGTTTTAGCTTCAGGCCCTCTGCTTGGACAATTCCTCTAAAGAACCTCAATGTCATTTTCAGGCAGCATACCGAGTAGCAAGAACAAGCTCAGGCATAGCCACTGTGCACTTCGCGACCGACCCAGCAGTCCAACCAACTGGTTTTGACCTTTCACGCCATCTGTCGGTAAAGCTCAACAATCGCTTCAGATGTGGACTGATCAGAGGTGCTGCAAATGACTACACGTGGGGTCTTGTCACTCCCTCCTTTGCTGTTGTGGCCAATTACATTTAGGCTGCACCCATTGGCAAGGACTGCCCGGTACTCTCATTGACTTGTACAATAAATTTCATTTCTCTTTGCAATTTAATGGTTGAGAAACTTAGACGAACATACATGATTCTAAACAAAACATTTATTTTTATTTTACCAGGTAAGGCCTACTAAGCTATATAGCTATTTTTCAGAAACAACCTGGCCACAAATGATAGCCCAATGAAATGTGGCTGATCACGTGGAAATTTACATCAGCCAAATACTCGAAATGCATATTTATAAATGTGGAGGGAAAAACCGGAGGACCGAAATAAATATCCATGCAACCACAGGGAGACATGCAAACTCAAAATATACAGCAGGCGTCAGGGTCGCGATCAAACCCACAAGCTTCTGTATACGAGGCGAGGTAGTTAATATCTCACTGTTATGTAAATGCAAAAACATGAAAAAAAAATTAACACTACAAATAGAGAATGAGTTCCGCTCTTTAGAAACCGCTCCTCACATTAAAAGTGTACACAGCACATGGCTGGAATACAAGACTCATGCAGTTTCAAGACTGCAGAGATAGAAAATTATGATATAACAAAATTACCTTGTTCAACAAAGTGTATAAGCACTCATTAATTTGCTGAAATCCTCTTAATACATAGAGAGCTTGGGCAATTGTTGACACCAACTCTCCACCTGGCTGCCTTCCAGCTTGTCTGTGGTTCCCCAGGGATAGTGAGAAGTAATTAGTATGAACGACACAGATACAACTAAACATTATTCGAGTAAATTGAAGGAAAAAAGGCTCCAGTACCTGGCACACATCACGAGAATAAGCCCGGACAAGATCCCGTAATTGGCGATGCGACAGAAAAGTGAAAGGATACAGGAGTAGGAGAAGACAGAAAACCAGGCGGATAGATGAAGACAACGGATGGAGATTGAAGAAGACGAGAACCCAATTTGGCCTCTTCGTCACTAGCGAGCAGACGGAGGGGACAGATGACGATTATGATGACGATGTCAACATGAGACACAAAAGTGCAGCAGATGCAGGGCCTCGCCTTCCAGGCAGGCAGGCCGTGGTAGTGGAGGTATCCGTGGCGTAGGAAGTGGTACAGCGGTGAGCCGGGCACGCTGTTGAAGTCTCCGCACAGCAGCACCGGCAAACGACCGCCGTCCGACACTTTGTCAATCTCGGCGAGTAGCAGGGCCAGTTGGGCAAGCTGCAGACCATTACACGAGACGCGCAGGAACCAAGGAAACAAACAAAAAGGCCATTACAAGCTAAAAATGCTGGAGTACACATGAAAATAAATAAACAGATTTGGCTTCCTGATTATTTAGATTATTAATTATTTCCGCCTTGCTGGACATTGCGGCATCTGCTTCGAAGATGCAAGACAGACATCACGCTGAGAACTACTGAAGGCCATCCTTGACAGACGGCCAACAATGATAGCATTTTTTCTTGAACACTATAAACAGTAATATTAACTTAATGTGTTTATATATTAAAAAAAAAGCCTGAATGTTATATAATGAAAATAATTACGTGACGGTCATGAACACATTTGTTTACGAAACTGAATAACTTCCAATGTCAAGGTACATTGTCCTCCAGTTGGATTCCAGGTCACGGGTAACATGAGTGGCGAGTGATATCCGAACAGCTCCTTGGCTCCACTTCACCAATCCACCCGGCTGGGGGTTGATTTAGTCCATCTCTCTGGGGTCAACAGAATGAGTAAAACTTTGTGGGTAAAGTCCACAGGACTTGTCCCTGCCAACTGGATGCTGAGTTTCCACCACTGACTCAGGGCTGTAATAGATGAACGCTGCCTCAATGGTCATCATTGTGTCTAGTTTGTCGACTGTATTTAGTTTGTTGTCTGTGTTTAATTGTTGTCCTTCCCCCGCACCTCTGATTAGCAAGGTTGGCTACGTACGGCGCGAAAGAAGTTCAACATACACACGTACATTCATTTGACCAGGAAATCACTTTGACTCTTGAGAAATCAGTGTCGTATTTATAAATGGATTACCCTGTAATAATAGCAATGTTGAGGACCTTAACATTAAACAAACAAATCGTTGGTTATTCAACTATGAAAATAACAACGTTAAGACACCAAAAACTATATTAATGTACCTTGATGTCCCCCCTCTTGGGATTGAAGAGGAGATGTGTGTTGGCAATGCAGACACTCGGGGGGAATTGTGTATAGGGTGCCGAACTTGTACCCTAGTCAACAAAAACAATAACATTCGTGAAATTATCATTAACCACACATAACAGTGATACGACTGGGATCCATTACATTTCCTGGAGTCTAGAAAAGGACTGTCAACATTGTAACTTTACTTTTCTGCACATCCTCATAGAATAGGAAACAAGTTAATTTTATTATGAAATGTTGACACAAGGGTCATTTGCAGACAATACAGTTGTACAGCAGAGTTACCGTGGCAACAGCAGTGTTCACAAAGGTTTTGTTCTATTGAATATATATGTAGTTGAGCAGTATGAGACACCAAACACACGCAGATTAGTTAATTAGATGGAACGTGTCATCGTTATCATGAACACTTAATATTAATACAGCGCATCTCTCATCTCCAGCACATCTCAAGAAACCACGTGGCAGGGGACCCCGGCGGCAGCCGTCTCTGTGAGGCAGAAGGTGAACAACGCAGCACTGGTCAACTAGCGGGCCAGTAGGGGACAATATTACTGTGGCTTCCCAATTAAGCGATTTTGAACTAATCTTCAAACTGTGATGCCGGCTCATGCATAGCGTCACGACGGGATCTTTAACGGCCGCTGTGAAGCAGACGGCACGTACTTCATGGTGAATACACCCGCAGTGTGAACGAGTGCGTTCTCTGGGCTCGAAGCGCATCTCGTGGGGTGCGGCGCTAGCGGGCGTTCGACCTCTTGGGGCAGCGGCTGCAGCACGGCGATGGTGCCCACGTTGTCCCGGTCCATGAGCGACACCCCGGGCCGGTAGTACTCCACCGCGTGCCACGAGCGCAGGGAGAAGCGCGACCTCTTGAAGCAGATGGCGCAGCCATCGTTCTTATCGCCCGTGCGCATCTTGTAGTGGCAGCTGTAGCCTGTGTGGCAATGCAGTGAAAATACAACAAATCGGCCAATAAGACTGTGGACTTTGAACGAAGAAGCTTGCACAGCCTTGGTGAAGCTCTCCATCACGCACACCCACATGTTTCCCTTTGCGGCTTTGACTTAATGAGTTGTAGAATAATGTGGATGGGGGCAACTCTTGTGATATTTCTGTGCAATGCTGCATTCCAAAAAAAATGCATTTCAAAATATACTATTAATTTGAATACTACTCAACATCATGCATTCTCACTACAAATTACGTTTCATAATTTTTTCAGTGTCAAGACAAAGTTGGTACATTGGACTCTTGCAGTCAGGTGCAAGTAAATCCCGAAATTCATTCTGCTACAGTCGAAGGGTGGCCCATGTGTCTTAATTTTAAATAAAGTCACATAGCTACTATCGTTCTTCTCAATAGGAAATAAGTTTGAATAAACTCCATACCATATTCCCTTGAATACCAGGCCTGGCTCCAGTTCCTATTGGATGGGAGGACGGTCGATAGTGATATACTGTATTCGCGCCGTGATAGTGAGATGTTAACTACCTCGCCTGGTATGCAGGAGGTCGTGGGTTCGATCGCAACCCTGAAGTCTGTATATTTTCCGTTTGTATGTTCTCCCCGTGGTCTGGTGGATTTTTCTCCAGATCCTCCGGTTTTTCCATCCACATTTATAATCAACATGTGTTTACAGTATTTTGCTGCTATAAATCATTCGTGGCCAAGTTGCTTCTGAAAAAGAGCTTCATAGCTCAATGGGCCTTACCTGGTTAAATAAAAACAATTACAAGTTGATACCACTAAGGATAGTGAGCTTGGGAGGGCCAATTGGACATTTGATGGGGTGGGGCCAACCCTAACATCTCCCTTGCACCGGCCCTGCTCCATACCCAGTCTGATGAGACGAGGCTTCAACTGGTCGATGTAATGGTCCTTTTGCACCTCCTGCAGACACAGTACCTGCAATCAACAACGAGTTGCATGTTACAATACAACTCACCAAACACACGTGTGGAGGCTGTCTAAGTAGATTTATATTTTAACATCATTTGAGTGTTTTTTCATTCACTGATTAAACCAGCAATCACAATAAAGTTACATTTGCTAAAATATTTTTAATTTAATATTTTAATCACAATATTCAACATGGTATTTTGTCCAGTTAAATGTAAATGACATAGCCTACGTTGATGTATAATGTGCTAAGCATTGATACCAGATTTGTAGGATGTTAACTCACGAATGATGCTGCTAATAACCTGAAACAATGTGGCATCCCTCATTCAACAACACCAATGGCCATTCCATCAAAATCGGCCTTCTATGAAGGACCGGACACCGTGATTTGAAGGTTTGAGTCCAATTGCTACTGATCATTTTTTTACTCAGCCTAGTTTTATCGTTTGCCTTTTCCATGTTAATATTTAGTGTATTTGTGAGCTACATTTTAATTTCAGTCCAATTTTTTTGGTATATATTCAAAATGTCCTAGTAATCATCATTCCTGTATTGCATCTGTAACCTGGGTCCCTCCTAGAAACAAGACTTTTAGTCGAAACAAGTCCTTACCTAGTTAAAAGATCAAGTATGATGGCGATGATATGTTTTTATTAATGTAACTAAGTTAGTAATTCGTTTCACAAGAAAAGTGTAACTCGTCTAACAGTTTTACAAACAGATTAAAGCATGCAGTGGCGATATTGAACCATTGACTTATGCTGCCAAGGCTTACTCTGCAAATCCACGATTAAACATGTTGTTTTTCTCTTGGCATAGTTAATGCACGTGCAAACATTGCAAGAATGTATGTCAACACCCAAGGGAGGAGCCTGTACTTTGGTCCACTAGATTAAACATTGACAGCTGAAAATGCCCTTCTGCAATTATATCTGGAGTCAATTATACTTGCAGCAACAATGTGAGCTCCAAATTCCAATTACATGTTCATTCAAATCTTTACAAACGACCTACTCAAAATTGTCTGCAAGACTACAATTATAAATATTATATTTTTCTAGCGCTGAAAAAGACAATATTAATGCTTTCCATTTATAAATGATATCAAAGTCCCATATTCAGTTGTAAGTTTATAGTTAAATTGGAAGTTCTAATAATTGGAATAAAACTAATCGTTCATATCACATATTGACTAGTCATGGTAAACACATAAAAGGTCATCAAACAAAAGTAAGTAAAAAGTAAAGGTCTCGAACACCAAATAAATTATATTTAAGCAACAAAAGTCGTGCAGCCAAAATAGGAACCCCACTAAAGAAATCATCACAACAATGTAGTGGCATTGTAAAATGATATGGAATACTACAGCTGCCAAGGAACTAATGCAAAATGATATCAGTGCTCTTTGATAAAATTAATAAAATAATGACATGAATGAGGCTGCTCCAGGAGGGGCAGTTTCTAGAGTTACTGCTTGTTCTCCCATGGCCTGCCTTCCCCAGCCATCTGTACTGTTGACTTTCTGTCTCTGTTAAAGCCCAATCTCAAGACAATCTGCCCTGCCTATGACTATGACTGTCCATCTCTTTTTCAAGAGAAAAAAATAATGGGATCTTGAGCTCGCGGTCACACGAAGACACTATACAAATCCACATTGTTTGTATTGCACGATGTCAACGTACATCTGCATTGAACCGTTCGATCTCCTGGATCAGGTTGGGGAAGCGGTAGGCCCATTCCAGCACGCTGCGGCTACAGTGGCGGTACAGGTAGGCATTGTCCTCCAGCAATCTCTGCGACAGGATGTTGTAGGTCATCACACTGAAGGCCATGTGGTTGCGGAGGCCCAACACGCTCGCATCACTGCTCCTGTCCTCCATGCCTTTCCACCACCGGCAGTGACTCCCTGTGAGAACACGAGGACCAGCAACGATTCCACGTGTAGTGTTGGCACGACACGTGAGGTCAAGGCGCAACACTGCATTTACTTGCTCATGCTGCTGCTAGTGGAAGGGCCTCAAATGGAGGGAAGAGATAAGGACGCTGTCCAATCTTGCACGAAGTGGGAGCACCCACATTTTACCCCATCACACACGTCCTGCTACTTGACCGTGGCGGGTGGGAGGGTGTTAATAAAGGTGCCCATTGTTTCAACTGCCATCCCGGGAAACCGAAGCAAGCTGATGACCTCTGGATTGCAAGCGCAGTGTTCTTACCATTCCATCATGGCAACACCCCAACACCAACAGTTGGTGAAAAATGGCCAAATTTTCAAAACAAGTACAAGTTTTGTGCATTTTAACAATAAGAAAATTGCTTTTCTGCCAACACATGAATTGGGCTCAAATTTGTTTCTGTCATGTACACAATAAAACATTTTTTTAAATCAAATGTCATGATTTAGAAGTTTGTGTCATGGAATGGCAATCGTAAACAACATTCATGTATCATATTAAATTGTACAAACAATTATATGATTATAATCAAACAGGAAATGGTAATAAAACATGCATAGGTCTTTACTCAAGCAATTGTTAAATGAGGGCTCCCCGCATGACATGGATCGTATCGATTATTTGACCATACTTCACCACCTTGGTCAGCGCTAGTTGGTGAAGGCAGAGGGAGCATAGACTGGCAGCATATAATCGCAGTACAACAATGCATTTTGCTGTACCGCCCTCTGCTGACCAGCACATAGCAGTGCCAAGCAATGTGTCTGGTGGGCATCGATCCAAGCATTATTAAGGACCTTAATAACTTGACTTCAGAGAAAAACCTATTATAAAACATTTTGTATTCTGCGAATATATAAAATGGATCGTGGTCTTGAAACAGTCTGTTTACAAATTGTGCAATCGGTGCTAGCGTAAGGTAAGCACACTTACACTTCCTGTACATGCTGCCCGATGTGGGGCGGACTTGTGCATCAACTTTTCTCTGTTCTTCACGAAGAGCATCACTGTCCTTGGGGACGCTGTTGCTGCCCGTGCCAGCGCTGTCTGCTGACAAGCGACTCCGCTTGGGCGAGCTGCCCTCTCTTTTTTGCATGTGGACGCTTGTGGTGGACAAGAAGGAAGAAGACACCTTATCCCACGACACCAATGGCCGGTGGGGATCTTTATCTCTCCAGCGTAGGCAATATGTCCGTAAGCGCACACCTGGCCATTTCAGGTGGCGGACAGTGCAAATGTTTGAAGATTTTAACAAATCTGTCTGTTTTCTGTTCGAGGTTTTATCACACTGAAGCAAGAGTGCTTTCCCACGTGCATGGCAAAAGGCGCGGTGTTGATATCCCAGCATTCGTCACCTGAAATGGTAAAGGTAGTAAAGTTAAAGGTGCAGCCTTGTAATTGCTTGATCATGCCACTGCTGTCAGAAGGGCCGCCACTAGAGAGAACAATTCAGGTGGCGGACAGTGCAAATGTTTGAAGATTTTAACAAATCTGTCTGTTTTCTGTTCGAGGTTTTATCACACTGAAGCAAGCAGGTTTAAAAAACACGAAAATCATCATTACTAGTAAAATAATCCCATCCACTTGGCACATCTCACATGGATAGTTCCATCTGCAAGTAAGATGGGTGATATAACACCATCGCTCTGGTATTGTAACCGGTATTGATGAATACCGGTTACACCCAGTGGACCTATTTTTGACACATTACATGATCTATTATCTGTGCAAAAATGTTCAGCGTGCATATTTTGAAACTGTTTCTGGACATTTTTACAGGGTAATCAGCAACAGCATCAGCGGTGACTGGGGTCAAACCGGCACAGCTCGGAGATGACAGTACAGAGAGTGAGCACATGAAGCCATATGCACGGAACTGTGTTATATTTCTCTGGGCATTCCTGTTTCCTCCCGTATAAAGAACACGTATTGAAGGGTATTTGGACTCAATGAGGCTAACAGGAATCATGGCTATGAGAAGTTCCACTCCAGCAGCAATCAGACCTGGCATCTGTTTTAACAATGAATTACAATATCTATGCAATTGTAGCATCAACTAACAATGCTGCAACACTTGTACATCTAACTGACCCCAGGTCTACCAGAAATGTTTTTGTCTATTTTCAACACAAATTTAAGAAATACAATGCTATATACTCAATGTGGATATCATAACGTAAATCTATATAACACATTGCATCAGAGAGTAAACATTCTTGATCACAATACCAATTGTGTGACACACAGAGTTTCTGCTTTACCATTACCACCTTAGTCTGATGCCGAGTGCAGTATTTTGTCACGAACATAAATGCTTTGCTGGAAACGTTAACTGTCAAAACAAACCCATGCTTTAGCTTTAGCTTTGCTATCTGACATGTCTATAAATCTTGTCCACTGGATTAGCATGCCAAGTCTCGGATGTTGTTTTCAGTCAAACACTCTAAACACGTGTTTATCATTCAATAGCTATGAACAATTCACAAAAAACAACGCAGCACACTAGTCAACAATTCCCTAAAAATATACATATGCGGTTAAGTTTCAGGAAAAGGCACTTCTCAATAGCACACAAAACAGCTATGTACATAACATTGTAAATCGGGTTTTATTTACTAATACGTGAATACGTCACGATGACATTAAAGCCAAAAGGCCAACAACATTAATGACGCGTCTGAACTATCGACACAAAATATTACCAACGCTAAAGCTGACACATACGCATCGCTGTGTGGCTCACAGCTCACAGTACAATACAGTGACATCGTGTACAACCCGTGTGACATTCAGAACGCCAGTGTGGTGTCCGGTATCTCGACTCGGAGCAACACACCACCACGCTTCACGTGACATGTTGACAGCACCTCGGCTCACTTCCAAACGCGATTCACTCTCTCTGAGCTTCGTACACAAAACAGTTAAACTCGTGAACACACCGGTCCAATGTCACATTACCTCGCAGCTGAAGCCTGCTACTGCAATGATTTGCCCGATGGTGCATACAGCACAGGCGACATCTGTGTACAGGATGTGATGTATGCGTGCTTCATGCGGGAGGGAGTCACTCTGCGTGTCCCTTCTCTTTCATCAAGCCACTGCTGGTCAACGTGGGGTGATGGTCTTATGAGTGATGGTTGCTCATCCAAACAGGATGCAATCTCAAACCGCTTTGCTGCCGAGGTCTGACGGTATCAGACGCATGCCTCGTGATTTATTTGAACATGTCATGTCGTAGTATGTGTATCGTTATTTACATACTGTAAATGTTCGTGCACAGTGTAGTGTCAATTCAGGATTTGCAACGTACAATTGCACAAATAGCAACGCTTTATCGAGTAGCGTGTATACCTACAGATTACGCCGTTACGTCTGCGTGTTGATGTGTAATAAAGTACATATACTGCCAATGTGATTGTACTACATTGTACAAGTATGCCACTATGCTGTTTACACGTGTCATTGTGCAACACGTGGAACAACAGCATCATGTTCCCACGTAACGTGCTGCTTGCTGCCCGACTTCGCCAACTTGCACTGACCAGCGTGGTGAAGTATGGCCAAACAACCTCCACAACCCGCACGGCCTATGGAGGCCCTCATCCAGCAGTGGACTGACAACATGGCTGTTACATGGAACAGTCGTACGCAGTTAAATTACAATGCACCACGGCACTTGCGCGATGAATAACGGGAAATATATAAAGTAGCCACGTCGGGGTTTGTTTATACACCCAGAGGGAAGATATCGACGTTTCGGTCAACCGGCTTTTCCTAATGGACACAGCCCCGAGATATACCATGTTAATGTTATATAACATGCCATCATATACCATGTCATGTTATGTAACATGTGGCGTACGATTGTCGCAGGCGTACAGTAAACAATGATGTTGTCAATCCACTGCAGGATGATGGCCCCTTCCCTGACCAGACTTCACGACGCCAGAGAGAGCGCTGGCGGCGGGGATTGCAGTCAAGTTCACACCTCCGATTGGCACGGCTGGCTACGTACGGTGCGAAAGAAGTTCAACGTGCATATTCATTCACTGGTATTGACACCGCGCCTCCCAGGCAGCACACTTCGAGACGTATATAATAAACAAGCGAACGCGTTATACACGATGAGTGTGTTAGATGAGTATGTTTAAGATGAGTGTGTGTGTTAGATGAGTGAGTTGTGTTAGATGAGTGTGTTAGATGAGTGTGTGTTAGATGAGTGTGTTGTGTGTTAGATGAGTGTGTGTGTGTGTTAGATGTGTGTGTTAGATGTGTGTGTTAGATGAGTGTGTTAGATGAGTGAGTGTGTGTTAGATGGGTGTGTGTTAGATGAGTGTGTGTTAGATGAGTGTGTGTGTTAGATGGGTGTGTGTTAGATGAGTGTGTGTGAGTGTGTTAGATGAGTCGTTTAAGATGGTGTGTGTGCTAGATGAGTGTGTGTGTGTTAGCTTGATGTGTTTGTGTGTGTGTTAGATGATGTGAGTGTGTGTAGTGTTAGATGAGTGTGTTTGTGTGTTAGATGATTTGTGTGTGTGTTAGATGAGTCTGGTTAAGATGAGGTTGTGGTGTGCTAGATTGCGTGTGGTGGTGTTAGATGAGCTGTGTGTGTAGTGTTAGAGAATCGTGGTGTGTGTGTGTTAGATGAGTTTGTGTTGTTAGATTAGTGAGTGTGTTAGATGAGTGTGTGTGTGTTAGATGAGTGTGTGTGTGTGTTAGATGTGTTGTTTTAGATGAGTGTGTTAGCTGAGTGAGTGTGTTTAGAGAGTGTTTGTGTGTGAGATGAGTGAGTGTAGATGGTGTGGTTAGAGAGTGTGTGTTAGATGAGTGTGTGGTTGTTGTGTTAGATGAGTGGTGTGTGTGGTAGATGTGTGTTGTGAGTATAAGCTGAGTGTGGTGCTAGATGGTGTGGTTGTTAGATGAGATGTTTGTGGTGTTAGAGAGTGAGTGTGTGTGTCGTGTAGATGAGTGAGTGTGTGTTAGATGAGTGAGTGTGTGTTAGATTGAGGTGTGTTTAGATGAGTGTGTGTGTGTTAGATGAGTGAGTGTGTGTTAGATGAGTGAGTGTGTGCGTGTTAGATGAGTGTGTGTGCTAGATGAGTGTGTGTGTGTTAGATGAGTGTGTGTGTGTTAGATGAGTGAGTGTGTGTGTGTTAGATGAGTGTGTGTTAGATGAGTGTGTGTGCTAGATGAGTGTGTGTGTTAGATGAGTGTGTGTGTGTGTTAGATGAGTGAGTGTGTGTGTGTTAGATGAGTGTGTGTGTTAGATGAGTGTGTGTGTGTTAGATGAGTGAGTGTGTGTTAGATGAGTGAGTGTGTGTTAGATGAGTGTGTGTTAGATGAGTGTGTGTGTGTTAGATGAGTGAGTGTGTGTTAGATGAGTGAGTGTGGTGTGTTAGATGAGTGTGTGTGCTAGATGAGTGTGTGTGTGTTAGATGAGTGTGTGTTAGATGAGTGAGTGTGTGTGTGTTAGATGAGTGATTGTGTGTGTGTCACACCGAGTCTACTCACACAGCGCGGAGCCTGGCGACCGAACCCGCCCGACGCCGTTACCGTGAAAGTGCTCGCCTCCTGAGGCCGCCCAGCATCGCAGCGATAACAAACACAGCGAGTCAACAACACCGTCAGCAGCAACACACTGCGCTGGGCATGGCAACACATAGCCAGTGGTGATGGTGTAAACAACACAAACAAGTCGCAGGGCTAAGGAGACGAGGCACAACAGCCGCTGCTGCTGCTGCGTGTAGGAGGAGGAGGAGGCGAGGCTTTGAGGATGCCGGGCGGCCCCCTCGCGTTCAGTGTCTCTTACTCGCGCCTGGTGTCCACCACCATCATCATCATCATCCTCACCGCTCGTGCCGTGCCACGATTGTGATGTATTATTAATGTCGGGTTATTTAACTTATTATCAAGAACATTGTGTTATAGTATAACCGTTGTAGATACCAATCATGAGTATTTTTTTACCACGATTATCAGTTACACCTGTATAGCTGTTACTATAATCACATAAAAATGAGTGTAAAGCTGATCAACATCTTGTATCGCTGTTGATTGTCACGACAATCCTCATGAATCAAGACGGACATCGTCCAGCACGCTGCTGTACTACCGCACTGTACACTACTGTACACTCGTGCACTGGCAGTGCGGTGACCACTACCCGGGAGTCGTCGCTGCTGCTCTTCTATCAACAGACTATAGAAGCTGCTGCAGCTGCAGCTCACACATTCACGACGCGAACAGAATGTGATTAAAGTCGCGAATGAACTCGGACGTGTTCACGGCGTTTAGATCTGTTCGGCGAGGCACTCACATGGCGCTGCCCGGCTCGTTACGTTCAACGGGTGGTTCCATCTTTTACGCCGCGTTTGTTTTGGAAGAACAAGGCGACCGTCGTGTTTGCGTGTGTGTAAATATGATTGTTTATTTGTGTGGGTTTTTTAATTATTATTTTGGTTTGAGAATTAAAATTTGAACGTAAAATGTCGAGGCGCTTCGTCGTTTCCGCGCCGCGTAGGCGGATTGGTGCCGCACGGACCGGGTCCCCCCCCAAAAAACGGGACCAATCCACGCCGCGAAACTTCGTTCCGGCCCAGTCAATTCGTTATCAGATTGTAATTAGAGCAGAGTTCCCGCTTAATAACGTGCACGAGTAATTAGCCATTAACGAATCGTTGCCATCGGGCATGTAACAGTCTTCTCTGAAGCTATTGCTAATGTTCTTTGCTGCGAAGTATTGTATGTACATGCCAGTCGTGCAGTAAAACTGACTTGGAATGGTTTTGTGATATTGGCATTCATCAGCAAGTCGTGGCCAGCTCTACAATTGTCAGACAAATGATGATGACCGGCATGACAAACACTATCAGAGATTTCCCCCTCTTCGAGACTAACACACGAAGGGAAATCCCACTGAGAGTGTTTGTGTTTACCTTTGTACAACTGCACATTGGACTGGTTTCACGTTTGGAGTGGTAAATAATTAGAATGTGTAAATAGCATATCGACTTGTAATGCACCTCGGAGTATCCGATCGCTCTGCAGGAGAGAGAGCGACTCGAGAGGCGCGAGGAGAAGCCCCAGACGAGCCTGTGCCAACGCTTGCCCCAGCTCTGCGGTCCTCTACGTATGAAGGCGTTACCCGCCAGCTAATGACGAGACTGGAGCACCCCGAAAAACCCTGCGCGTGCGAGGGTACAACACTCGATCCCATGACGACGGAAGCGGCGATATCTGTTGCCGTGCTGATGGCAGTCCGACGCCACGGGGAAGGGGCCAGCCTCGCAACATCCACACGTGGCCCACCAACCCCCGCTGCAGCCTGCACACGCGCGCGAGGATGGGAGGCATTGCTCAGCATACTGAACACAGCGGACACAATCAATAAACACTTGCTGTGAGGACGAATTCAGGAGGTATTTATGCATGTTACTGTACCCTGCATATCATGATAAAGTGTGATCAATTGCAGTTTGCTGAATAGTGCTAAACAGCACAGAATGTAGCCAAGTCTGTCTTATTACTAAATTGCCAAAGGGAAATGTATTTCTATTTAAAGCCCCGCATGGCACACGCAATGATGCTACACAGATCTTTACAACAATATTGCATTACTATTTATATATTCTACAATGCCTTCACATTTGCGACGTACGGTGCGAAAGAAGTTCAACATACACACTTTACAACTATAAAACTTCAATACTGGTAGGAACCCACTGGTTCCACCAGCCCACACGGGATTATTGTGTCCGTCTGTCCGTCGTGCAGGGAGGGGCTGGTTGGGGAGGGAGGGGCTGGGTGGGGGGTGGGAGAGGTGGGGCTGGGTGGGGAGGGGCTGGGTGGGGAGGGTGGGGGCTGGTCACCCCGTGGTGCCCTTATAAAACTCAACGTTTAACCCACTCACGCCGGCTTGTGCCCGCCCTCACAGTCGGGCATATTTGCAGAATACACCACGCCGCCGTTGACCCTGGCCATTGACCGAGCAACCCAACGTTCCTACCAGCTCCCTCCGCAGGAATGTGTTGTTGAACGTGCTTACGAATAGGGCTCATCGATCCGTCCGTCCATCCGTCCATCATTAACAGCGATGGCAAACATCAGTGGCGAGTGACCTCCGAACCGGCTCTCAGATGGATACAAATATGTCACGAAATGCCATGACCACACACAGAGACAGATAATTGTGAGGCGAGTTTCAGTGGGGCCCATGCCATTGTGAGAATTGGTGATGTTTGACTTGAAACTACCGTTCACAATGGGCCTTTCTCTGTTATGATTGGGGTTTCTCACAATTCACATTAAAAATAAAAAGTTAGGCTTACTGTGATACAGTGTTTTCATATATCCCAGTGAAGGCAATTTCGTGAAATTCCCCTTCTCAGCTCCAGCACACCATGCTGGTGGTGGTGCTGGTGGTGGTGCTGGTGGTGATGGTGGTGGTGCTGGTGGTGCTGGTGGTGCTGGTGGTGGTGCTGGTGGTGGTGGTGCTGGTGGTGGTGCTGGTGGTGGTGGTGCTGCTGGTGGTGGTGGTGGTGCTGGTGGTGGTGGTGGTGCTGGTGGTGGTGGTGCTGGTGGTGGTGGTGGTGGTGCTGGTGGTGGTGCTGGTGGTAGTGCTGGTGGTGGTGCTGGTGGTGGTGCTGGTGGTGGTGGTGCTGGTGCTGGTGGATACAAAGCGGTAGTGTGGAGCTGCGCTACGAACCCGGCCACCCGAGTTCGATTCCCGCTCACGGCCACTAACACCGGTGGCGATTATCTGAACCGGTCCTGGGCCTCCCCTAGGTCGACTCGGCCTCAAACGAGTACCTGGTTTGCGGTGTGTAAACATCGCCACTCGGGAGACAAAGGCGGCCGAGCGTGGTGTTGGCCTTTCATATGTGCTCGCTATCAGCACTTGCCCCAATGGTATGTAACAGGCTATCTGGGGTATCTCTGTGGCTGACCCCATCAGAGCAGCTGTGTGAAGGTCAACTTGTCAAGCCCCGCAGTGGAGACGCGTCTCGCACCTGCGCGTGGCCACCGCAGAGGGGCGCTGTGACACCAACGCAAATCGTGAGCTGTGTTAGCAGCAGCATCATCATTATTATACATTCACGTTTAAAACCTGTGGTGAACTCCACTACACAAAGTAATTTTGTCGTTGTAATGTGGTATTCATAATGTCACTTTATGGAGGTGTGTGTTGAGTTTTAGCTCATTTTAAAGAAGCGCCATTTCAGTTTGTACAGAAACTAAAATACTTTTGTATTTCTATATATAGTATTTGTACTGGAATTGTGAATGTTGTGGGTTTACTCTCCAACACACCGGTGTGCTGTACGAATTGGCACGTTCTGTTTAGGTCACAACCCTTACGAATTGGCTGTGTCGGGTGGTGGCGGGTTTAACGACGCATTTATATTTACGTGATCTAACCCCAAAAAAACTCTAATTGGGATTTATTTTTTATGCAAGTAAAACTTTTACACCACACCATTGACGCCCAGCACGATTGAAGATGTATTCCTTGCTCTGTGATTCACATATCGCTTCTCTCCAGTTACACACACCGGATATAAAGTATAGTACTTATTAATTCTCGGTGTGCAGTATTATAATAAGTTCACATTGCTTACAACCAGGCAGATTTCACACCTTCCATGCTGTGTTCATCTACCACCCCAGTAAGCATAGGTTGGGCCAACGTTGTGTGTGCAATAGTTGAAATCGTTGTGCCAACATTATTTACTGGCATTCTGTCGTTCAGAATACTCATCTTTTGATTTATTTTATTGCAATGCTCACCTCTGGAAATGACTGCAATGCTGTCATTTAGAATGTTCCTATAACCTTGTTAAATTTAGGAAACGTTGACTTGCATCCATTACCGGTACACCTTAAATTGTAACCTAGATTTGACGTGTTCGTGACTGCAGGGATCCATACTCTTTGGTTCTGTCGGTAAAGTCACGTGGGTAGAAAATAAATTTAATTTATTTCAATGTTGTTTGTTGATGGCCGCTTTGTGTTCACGAACCCTCATGTAACGAACCAAGACAACAACAACTTCCTGCAGCTCACCAGGACCTGTGTCTGTGCCACTTCTGTCACGGTGTGATGAGACATTGTGCCAGTGGCAGAATTGCAATGTGTTTGAGAGTACTGCAGCATCATCATCAGCAGCAGCAGCATCAGCAGCAGCTGCAGGATGAGCATCAGCAGCAGCATCAGCATCAGCAGCTAAACCGTGCAGAGCGTTGCCTTTGTAAAGCAGGCCACCTGAAACCAAATGCAGCTGCCTCAAGCGCAGCGTAACAGACTGACTGTGGGTTTTGTGCAGACCAGGCCGACTCAAACAATAAAGGCGCGTGACTTTTCCTTTGTCACGCGCATGCAAAAGGTGTGATAAGCAAGCGGCTGTGATCACAAATGCAGTGCGCAGTGTAGATCAGGGAGGTTTTCATTTGCCGGTATTGCTCTTTGGAGTAAAAACAACATCTCCCTTCCTCAGTGATTCAATGAATTGTCATTCACAGTCATAATTCTATTCAAAGATGAGCTCTTTTTTTGTAACGCCGTAGTAAACATAGCGGCCTCTAGCGGCTTCAGGTGTCTCATAACCCCATTAGAGTACATTGAGCAAAGTACGAAAAAGAAGTACAATATTGTTACACACGCGATTCAATGCATGTATTGTAAGCTTTAAAAATCGATATTTACTGATTAATTGGTGCGTCGCTATGCCTCTAACGCATATGATGTAATAGAGCACAAAAACTAGAAAGGAAAATTTAAAAAAGACCCTTGCAATCGTGGGAAAAGATATACTTTTCCAAACACGTTGATAACACATCCATGTTAGCCGTTATGTTTAGAAGTTAATGGTGAAGTGTTCTCATTACACTGTGTTACTAACTCTGTCCACAACAGCTAATTGTGGAAAACTGAATTGAAACTCGATTGCAAATAGTATTCACAAAGCACAAAGAAGAGATGATTTAACACATCTTGATTTTTGTTTAAAACTGGAATAGTTGATGGGGATTTTTTTAGTTATATTTCCCCGCTCAGGTTTACGCGATATGTTTTAATCTATTTAGATGTAAATTTAACGGTGAAGTGTTCTGATTGCACTTCGTTATGTACTCAGTCAACCATGTGTATTTGCAATAGCACATGTGTTTCCAAGGATTCGCTATCTCGGATAGTGTATTGTTACTGTCATCCATTTTTACTAAAGATGGTCCTTTTGTAAGTCCCTAGCAGGAAATGAGATAGGCGCAGGCCTTTGTCTGGCCATGAGAGCATTTGGCAAGTGTATTATGCTGTGGTGCTCTCATCTTTAAGTTTGAGCTGATCCAATCATTTATCCGCACGGCAGCCCTGACCATTGCCATAATTATTGAAATATTCACGAACGCCAATATACTGCAAATGAGTATATATATGAGAATACAATTGCTGTAGTAACCTTCCTTTTGTCAGACTCATGATCTTTGAAGATGTAACAAAGGTCTATATGTAACCTGTTTCTCTTGTATTCATAGGGAAATAAATATACG